TGCCAACCTAGCTGCGCTCCCTCGTCCCTTGGATTGCAAGCTCGTCCTGTCGCTTGCTAACTCGGTGAACAAGGAGAGGGGTTTAGAGAGTGAGTACCTCGTCATCCTTAGTGGTTAGGGTTTCTTTCTTTTTTCTTTTTCTTATGTGATGGATTTTTGTGCTTGCAGGTATAATAAGAAGAAGAAAATGGCGAGAGCTAAAGGCCCGCTACAATGTAGAATAATTCGTGCATCACATGGATACCTATTTAGTTTTAACAAATGGGTAACTTTCTATAGTTATAAAACTACAACTAAACAATTACAAATGATTTAATGTATTAAAGTTAAAATAAATATTCATAATATAACAACACCTTTTTCCTATCATTTTATTTGATACATTGGCTTTTTAACCATTGTCGATTAATTTTAATATAATTTACAGAATGAGAGAATTTTGAAACAAATTATATCTTTGAGACTCTCAGCGCTAATATCATTATGGGTTGTAGTAACACCTTTTTCACATCATTTTTATTTTTTAAAAAATAAATTTTTAAGCCATGCAATGTGTTATGTTAAAATCATCATAGCTAATAGAGACACAAATGGGATCACTATTCACTTAAACCCTATACTTCGACAAGTTAAAATTAACTTATAAAACTATTTTTGTTGTTGTTGTGATTACAGCTCATAGTTCCCCATTTCTGTTTTCGGAGTTGTTGTACGTTATTTATGTTGCACGGACACGATATGAGATTGTCGTGTCCTCGAGTCTAACACTCTTTAAGGTGGATCCACATTAGACATTTCGACAGAATGTGTCCGCATAAATTGAACACATCTTTATCATGAGCACCTACAAAATTGACGTGTCTCCATCATGAAATTGATATTTCTCCATCGCATACACTGCAAATGAACACGTCTTCATCTCGATGTACTATTTGATACATGGATTCAAGATTTATTTATTTATTTTAACAAAAGAATAAATCTCAATAAAAACATAAACAAAGGAGGGATGATTTAAGATTTTTTTTTTTAAAAAAGAAGAAGAATAAATCTCAATAAAAATATAAACAAAAAGGAGAGAATTTGAGATTTTTTTTATAAAAGGAAAAAAAATCTCGATAAAAATAGATATAAAGAAGGTAAAAATTGAGATATTTTTTAAAATAAAATAATTTTTTTTGATAAAAATAGAAATAATGAAGAGAATTGTTTTACTGCTCCTTACTTAACTTTCATGTAATAAATTTTTTTTTTTAATAAAAATAAAAACAATGAAAGGAGGATTTGAGATTTAAAAAGAAAATTATGAATATGATATCTCTTATTTATATTATGTATTATATATATGTTGTGTCTACGTGTCTTATATTTTTTGATTTTGTCGTATCTCCATGCCGTTGTTTGTATCGTGTCCAAGTCCATGCTACATAATACGCTATAACCTCTTTTTTGGAGTCCCTATAAATTATATCGTCTTTTTTGGATCTTATAATTTATAGTGACATTTTTTTTTTCTTTTGAAGAGTATATATATATATATATATATATATATAATATGTTTAATAATGACCAATTTTTTTTTAAGTTGAAAAATAGATAATTTACTTTAAAATATTAAAAAATATCACAGATTTGTTTAAAAATTAAAAATTTTAAAATATATTTTAAATTTTTTAAAAGTGTAACTGATTTAACATTTATCGCTATGATAAATAAAGATAACTTACTTACGAAAAAGTAAAATAATAATAAATATTTATTAAAAAATATACCTTAATTTACGAAAAAAGTAAAATAATAATAAATATTTATTAAAAAATATACCTTAATTTTTTTTATAAAAAATATCACTTTAATTTTTAAAAATGCATCCATCGCTTCTAGCGATCTTTTTTTTAGTTTTTCTACTAAATTTATAACAGATTTATTAAAAAAGAATAACAAGCCAATTTTCCATTTATTTAATAAATAAAGATAGCTTATTTTTTTAAAAAAATTAAATAAAATATACAAGATTTGTTTACAAAATATACCTATTGTTAAAAAAGACATCACTTTAATTTTTTTAAAAATATAGCATATTTATAAGAAAATAATAGACAGATTTAATAGTGACTATTTTTTTAGAAAAGAATTTAAAAAATAAAGATAAACTAATGAGAAACTATAAAAAATAAAGATACTAAAATTTAAATTTTTAATGTCAATGTCATTATATAACTACAAAAAAATGTGTGGTTTGCGGTGGTTATTTTGGTAGTTTCTGACGGTTAAAAACTGCCACAAATGGCTTGGTGCCAGAAAATTCAATCTCTTTATGGCGGTTTGAAACGGCCAAAAAATGCATTTTAATTTTACTTTTTGTCTATTTTTTATTTTCTAGCTGCCACAAAATTTATTTTAATTTTGTCTAAATTCAACGTTTCTGGGGGTTTTAAACCGCCACAAATCGCGTTATGTGCAAAACATGAATAATGCATTGTTGAAAGAAGAAACAGTAGCAGCAAATGAGGCAGGTCAATCTTTAAGTACCAAAACATTGGACTTCGATCTCAATGAGCTCTATGTTATGGAGGATTAAGTAGTTTCTGTAGTTCTCCATTTTGCTATATTAGATATGTTGTGTTAATCTTGCAGTTTTATTATTATTAACTTCAACGGAATTTGATCTTTGTGTGAGAGAGATTCTACAATAATATTTCAATGCACTAAAAATAATGAGAAATGGTTGAATTAAAAAATGAAGAAATTTCATATTCTACATGTTGTGAAAAGTGTAATTTAATAATTCCAAAAAATGTGACAACAAAGCACAGATTCACAAATTCCCAATTTACCTCATCCATTACTAACTTTCCATATTCACCAATTACATTCATTAATCTGTGATCATCTACCGCACAATCTCAAATTTCTCGAATAGGGACATCGCCAACATCAATTAGCACTCGTGCATATCTTGTAATTCTTTGCCTGCATAATCAAAATTGTGCTATTAGAAGCTATTAAGCTACTTATTATCATAATTTACAAGTAATTGAAGGCCCAAAACAATTGCTTCCATGACCATGGTAGATTCACAGACAAAGAATAACTAGATATAAGGAATCATGCATCATTATAGAAGTCCATGCTATCCTCATAATACAACCAAAAGAGAAAGAAAAAAGTATTAAATTGCTTTCATGTTCTTTATTTATAAAGCAATAACAATTTTATATAAATGTTAACAACATGGAAGTTTCAGAACAACATAAAATCCCAATATTTTAAGAAGTAGAAGAAATAATATCCATAATTTCAAGGTTTCAATTGGGTAAGAGTTTTGCATTCTTGAATCTTCTACTAACAAAATTCGATGAAAAAAATCAATTATCATTTGCAGATGAGTTTACAAAGCAAAATTTAAGTTGCGCTAAAACTAATGACACTTTCCAAGATTTCTACTTTCCAAAGGAAAACCATATGACTACCTTCTTTAGTAGTTGAGTTTGTACTATCACACCAAATGGCCTCGCAAATGTGAGGCAGGGCAAATGTAGGATCTTGAAGGAAAGATAAATTATGTCCCAAAGGAACTCCAAGAAGAGTTGAAGTTGCTTTAGCACCTCCCAAAGCACGCACAAGTTCTCCCTGGAGAAAAATAGCTTATGCATTTATATTTTTTCATGCAAATTTTATAATCAAAATCACCAAAATAAAATATTAAATTATGGGTCACAAAACTAAATAAACACAAATGCACTCAAGCAAAATAAACACAAATATGGCATGCCTTAATCTTTGCTCTTTCTTGAATAAGAGTAAGTGAAGCATCTATGACACGACTTTGGCCTTTCTCTAGTAAAGTAGCAAATACTTCTGCAGCATTTAGACTTGGCATTAAATGGATGCCTCTGCGTGCTATAATTGACATTTTTGTACCAAAAGAACAAAACAATTAATTAATTAATTAATTAATAAATATATTTAGAGGCCAAAGAAATTTTGTCAATTTTACTCCTATTAGATGAAACAAAGTCAAAGCATGGTCACATTCATGTAATTAAAAGTGAAAAACAAAAAAAAAATTTTCTGAAACCGAATAGCCCCTAACCTCTCATCCTAAAACACAAATGACAAAACCCAGCAAACACAGCCATGTGACTCAATTTCTAGTATACATCAAGCAATCACTTCAACCTCGATTTTGAAACTCTAATCAAAATGCCTTTCTTCTTTTTTTGTATTATTAAAATCAAAGTACAAACAAATAGATAACTAGATTAACTGCACCTTTACTTCCTTTTTTTTTCCTCTAATTAGAAAATAGCATAACAAATATCATAAACAATCATTGATGTTACCATTGAAACTGCTTTAAGTTCGCCTACTCTAAGAAACACTTTGTTTACCAGAAACAATTTACTGAAGCTTGTGATTGACAAAGTTCTACTGCTATTGTAATATTTTAATGCCCTGTATGTTATTACTGATTCCAGTAAAATGTCTTAAAGTTGTTTTTTATCCTAAATTCCTTATGAATACTTTAAGTAAACTACATCTTACTCTGATCTTTTTTACATTTGTCCAAAAAATAAAAACTACATTTAAGAATGATTGAAAACATCCAAAAACCCACTTCATATCCTGTATTAGTCCAGATCTTCATTTTTTTACAAGCCTCTATCTCCTTAATTAACAACAACATCTCTTACTTTTTATTCGCTTCCTATCTTTTTTATTTCTTGAAGTGTTATATATTTTCCTTTTAGTATGAGTTTTCGAGTAGGTTCTTATTGTCTCAATAGAAATTACAATGACATTATACTTGCTGGTTTTGTTTAAGGACAAAAATGCGAGTGATATACTGCAGCTAGTGTGAGTTTGATTACCTGTGAAATTAGAAAGAGTGACTGCTAACAATTAAAGCAATTAATTTGATTTGTGCTGAACTAGGATTAAGAGATTACTTAGGAGTTGTTTGGTGTGAACAAAGTTGTCTGCTCCAACATAAGCATGAAAATATTAGCGAGACAAAAATGAACAAGGATAATGCACATGATAAAAGGCCTTTTGGTAAGCTTGTCACATATAACGAGCCTGTTAATATTGCTAGGCCAGAAAATGTTAAAACTGAGAAAGAAACTAGACAAGATAAGCAAGAAAATGTGACCCAAGCATCTGAACATATCAACAATGGAACATATCAGCAACTCTTTTCGGTTGAGGTTCTCCCTCTCTTAAAACAACCATAGATTTAATTCAACAGATTAATAATGATGAAAAACATCATGAACAAGCCAATTTCAAATCAGAACATCAAAAACAAATAACACTCGTAATTTCAAAAGGCAAATAACACTATAATTTCAAATCAAAACGTTAAAAAACAAATAATTAACATTCGTATTCCTTCACCTCAAATTTGTAATCTCGGAAAAATTTGTTCCACCTAAAACCTCTAAAAAAAATCATAATGAAATATTATACAAATCAAAAATAGGGAATCAAAATGGATATGAATCGAAAACTTGTCCTAAATTAAAGCAACCGATTGAAGAATAGCGCGTAGAGAAGAGCAAGCTTAAAGAAGCTCTTGCAAAATCACTAACCCTAAATTGAACACTTTGCGAAATGGTTTTACCGTAAATTGCTTCATGAAATATTATGTTGAGGGGGAAGAAGAAGAAGTTTGAGCGTGATAGGTTTTCGCAGGTAAGTTTCCGCGGAGTATTCCAAGTTAGGTTTTTTTAATTTTAAATTTAAGTTCTTTAATTCTTTTATTTTTACTCTCTTAATTCTTTTAATAAAAATATAAATATACTTTAATTAAGTTGTCCACTGGTCACACAAAGAGTTGAGAAATGGATAATTAGATACTTACATATTGTGACGGTTTAAAACCGCCAAACATTAATTATTTTGTGGGGTTAAGATAACCCTTAGAATTACAACATTTTTTAGCGGTTTATTAAAACCGCTAGAAAAAAATCGCCACTAATTAACTAACTTTTTGTAGTGAGCCCATAACAATATAAAAAAATAAAATAAAAATTGGGTACTAAAAGTTATAGCGAGTTTTTATTTTTTTTATTTTTTTTAATGAATTTATAGCAGATTTATTTAAAAATAAATAAATAAATATAACTTATTTAAAAAAGTAAAGAAAATATACAAGATTTGTTTAGAAAACATACATAAATTTTGAAAAAATATCACTTTAATTTTTTAAAATACAACAGATTTAGGAAAAAAAATTAGACAGATTTGTTTTCAAAAAATTTGGTAATATAGCAACTATTTTAAAATTAAAAAAATTTTAGGAAAATAAAAATAACTTAATGAAAAAAATATAACAAATATTTTAAAAATAAAGATACTAATATTTCTTTAAGAAAAAAAGATACTAATATTTAAATTTTCAAAGTCCATGCCATTATAACCTATACTAACATAAAAAGAAGAAAAAAAAATTGGTCGTTATGGATTATACTGATATTAGAAGAAAAATTAGATTGTTATGAGGTATAGCGGCCTGTTGTAATTTGTTTAATAAATTTATAACAGATTTATTTAAAAATAACAATTGAAATTTTCATATATTTTTAAAAAGTAATTAAAAATAAAGATAAATTATTTTAAAATAAAAGTAAAGAAAATATACAAGATTTGTTTTAAAATATACCTATTTTTTTTTCTATTATGACTTTAATTGTTTAAAAATATAACAGGTTTAAAAAAAATAGACTGATTTATTTTTAGAAAATTTTAATAGCAACTATTTTTAAAGTAAAAAAAGAAAAATGAAGATAACTTAAAGAAAAAAAAAATTTAACCAATAAATAAAGATGCTTATATTTAAATTTTCAAAGTATGTGTTGCTAAATTTTATAACAAAAAAAATAAATATAAAAAATTGGTTACTATAGACTATAGAGACATAAAAAATAAAAAAAATAGGTCTAGACTATATTGAAATTCTCTTTTTCATGTATCTCTAGATCAACATGTAGCATTGATTTAAAAATCACTAAACTCATAATGACTTAATCGATATGGCTATTGATTTCAACATTTTCAAATGGCACCACGTATATTTAGTGAAAGAAATTTAAAAAAAATAAAAATCACTTACATATGACAAGGGAGTTGCTATAAAAATATAACAACACTACCATCGACAACTTAATAAACTTGATTCATTTCCAAACAATTTCATTCTAGTAATATATTTTTAAAATTGAGCTACAATGATCAAAAACACGAATATTATACTTTATAAAGTCTACACACCTTCACATCTTATCTAAACGCTAAACAATTTCTATTCCATATTCACACTGTCCTCAATCATCTACATCTCTCATGTCACCTTGTGCTGTATGACGTGAGATTGTTTCATTTTAACATCTTGAGTTTCAATCTTAATATATATGACTGTGTAAATACCAGATAGAAGAGTTCTCTTCGTGTAATAATAGTCTTTACTATCTTGAACAAAATTGACTTTACCAGAAGAAACTTATGGTATAAAAAAAAGAAAAAAAAAAGAATCTTCCTTTCATGATTATCACTTTATCTTGGGTGATACATCTTGATGACATAAATTTCACTCTTTCAAGTTTTAATTGACCCCACTCAAGACTCAACCATGCTTCTTGATAATAAGGTAACACTGCCTCTATATAAGGCACACCTAGCTGATAAACACTCAGCTCCAAAACAGAACCAAAGCAATGGATTCGCTCTCTCGGTTCAGCCTTTTTTGCCTCTTCCTTTCCCTCTTTCCCCTTTTTGCTTCCCCTGCCTTGCTGTTTCAGGTTTCACATCCCCTTTTCTTTGACTTTTACACACGCAAATGTACACAACATTACTTGAACGTACATTTCTAACCAAGTAACTTTTCATGAATATGATAAATGTTGTCACAGGGGTTCAACTGGGAATCAAGTAGCAAAGGGGGTTGGTACAACTCTTTGAAGAACACTATTTCTGATCTTGCAAATGCTGGAATTACCCATGTTTGGCTCCCTCCTCCCTCTCAATCTGTTGCTCCTCAAGGTTCATTTTTCTACCTAATTCACTCACAAATAAAACATTAATGGATCGTGATCAGCATCTACCATTCAATTTCCTGATATATGATTAATTTTCTAGCAGAATTTTGTCAATTTAAGTTATCCCATGCAAAATATGGTTGTCAATTGTCATGTGTCAATTTGGAATATAGTTTGCAAGGCATGATTTGGCCGAAAGAGAAAGTAACTTCGAGTTTAATTTTCAATCAGAAATCATCCTAAACACGTCTTCTAATTTAGTTATCATAAAAGTCGACAAAACATGCGCAAAGTCTGTAATTGGATAACGGTGAAAAAATTCTTACACCACCAAAGTACTCTACTTCTTTTGCCAAGTCTTAATAAGAAAGATTATGAGGTTGACTCAACTTTATAAAATTGACTTATAAACTGAAAATTGCTTCCCACTTACATATTCTTTTTTAACCTTATCACTAGTTGATGTAAAATTTCCAGCATCAAACATGTTATTTGTGAACCATAATTTTGTTAATCATGTTCAAATAAACTGAGTGGTTGTTGAATTTGTCTCTTTGAATCCAGGGTATCTTCCGGGAAGGCTATATGATCTGGATGCATCAAAGTATGGATCCAAGGATGAACTGAAGTCCCTAATTGCTGCTTTCCATGAAAAGGGGATCAAGTGTCTAGCTGACATAGTCATCAACCACAGAACAGCAGAGAGAAAAGATGGAAGAGGCATATACTGCATCTTTGAAGGTGGCACACCAGATGCACGTCTTGATTGGGGTCCATCTTTCATATGCAAAGATGACACTGCTTACTCTGATGGCACTGGAAACCTCGACAGTGGTGAGGGCTATGATGCTGCACCAGACATTGACCATCTCAATCCACAGGTGCAGAGAGAGTTGTCTGAGTGGATGAACTGGCTCAAAGCTGAGATTGGTTTTGATGGGTGGAGGTTTGATTTTGTCAAGGGCTATGCCCCCAGCATTACCAGAATTTATATGGAGCAAACTAGGCCTGATTTTGCAGTGGGAGAGAAATGGGATTCTCTCTCTAATGGCCAGGATGGGAAGCCTAACTATAACCAAGATGGTCACCGTGGGGCACTGGTCAATTGGGTTGAGTCTGCAGGTAGGGGTTGTTCATCCATCGGATTTTTCATAAATTCCAATCAAACATAACTAATCCAAAGTGAATTGGTTTGATTTTCTAAAAGCATACTGAAATTTTATTTGGATCAGTTCAGTACAATTCAATTATTCACTTTATGTTTAGTATAGTTCAATTATTCACTTTATGTTTATAACTGAATCAAACAAACCCATTCTATAAAAAATGGATTGGTTCAATTTTTTTCAAAATAAATTGATTTGATTCGATTTGTGATTTTTCTTTTTCACCTTCCTATGTGCAGGTGGGGCTGTCACTGCCTTTGATTTCACAACCAAAGGAATTCTTCAGGCTGCTGTGGAAGGGGAACTGTGGAGGCTGAAGGATCCAAATGGGAAGCCAAGTGGAATGATTGGTGTGAAACCAGAAAATGCAGTTACCTTTATTGACAACCATGATACTGGTTCCACTCAGAGACTTTGGCCATTCCCATCTGACAAAGTCATGCAAGGATATGCTTACATTCTAACACATCCTGGGACCCCAACAATAGTACTGTTTTCTCCCATCTTCTTAAATTTTCAATATATTCTTTTAATGCTAAAATACCTTTACTCTTATTTCATTTTTAAGTGCTTTAAATTTAAAAACTTTCGCTCTAAAAATTTAAAGTATCTAGATCCAATTGGTCCTCTACTAATTTATCAGACTTGGATCAATTTTGATAACAAATGATAAATTGTGAGAGATTTTACATCAAATGCACATTCACTATGTTAGTCAAAATTAATGTCGTCATAAGTTGACAAAAGGAAGAAAAATAATGAGATAAATTTTTTATAACTTAAAATTAGTCTATACGTAATTTAAAAATAAGCTTTCAAAAAAATTAACTTAAAGAGTTTCTACAATTCTTTTTTATCAATTTAAAAAGTAAAAGAAACTAACAATGAATAAAAGCAACCCTCATGGCGTTTAATAAAAACTAATGAAAGAAGTTGTTGAGAACAATCATCCCAAACAATGAACCCCTACTAACTAATTTGTATAGTGATTGTCTTCACCATTTCAAAAGAATAGTTGTCATTAGAAATTTTACAAATTAACCAATGTATAAGTTAATTTAGTGTATAGAGAAGTTTATTTAATCATTCCTTTCTATTTTCTTCTCTTGTGAGTATATTTGGAGGAATTTATTCAAATAAACCTTCGTTTTTAACATATAAAAGATATATATATTGAGCAGCAAAAGTATGGTTTGCTACTTTAGTTTGCTTGTTGGAGGAGGTTGTTGTTCATTTCCTCTTATTGATGTTGATTCTTCCTTGTTATGCAGTTCTACGATCACTTCTTTGATTGGGGTTTGAAGGAGCAAATATCGAAATTGAGTGAGATAAGGGTGAGGAAAGGGATCAATGAGAAAAGCAACGTGAATATTCTGGCAGCTGATGCTGACCTTTACGTTGCAAAGATTGACGACAAGATAATAGTGAAGATAGGGCCAAAGATGGACCTTGGAAACCTTATTCCCTCTAATTTCCGCGTTGCTACCTCTGGCCAAGACTATGCCGTGTGGGAGTGACTCAATTTATTACCATTACAATAAGGATTTCATATACTTCATGTTTATCATAAATTATAAGATCATTTTATACTTGATCTTACCCAAATACACCTTTACGTGGTTCAATACACCCGTTTGCCGAATACAATAATATTATAACTGATACTTCCAAAGAATTCTTAACTCGCCCACTATTCTCTTTATTTATTTGTATTTTATCTTTGTCATAATAACAATAACCCATTGCTAATCATAATTTGATCATAGCTCTACAAAGAGAGTGTATATATAATTGGAATATAAATATTAATGTATAATTTGGTATTAATTATATTTTTATATAATTATAAATTGTCAAAATATTTAAAGATGAGAATACATGGATCTTCGGCCTTTCCCTTCAAAAGCAACACTTAATCACTAAATTAATGATTTTCTTTTATATATAAATGAAAGCTATAACATATACTTTTAATGGAAATCAAAATTGTGTTGGAAATTAATGGATTTGACTCCTACATATGTGAATGCAAAATAGACACCACATAAAAGAAAAAGAAAGAATAATTAAATAATAGAATAATAACATTATGATAAAGTAAGATTACAAATAGTTTTTCTTTCTTAAAAGAATCACTCAAAGAATTTTACCCCTTTCAAATGATTATCTCTTAATTTTTATTAAATATGTTGCCTATTTTAGGATAATAAAATGTGATACATGCGATTCAAATATGTTGCCTGTTTTAGGACAATGTCTTCTACCATATAACCAATTAAATTTTTTGCTTAATACATGAGATAACACACACTATATTAAAAATATATTATAATACTGATTTATGGAATTTAACTACTGATCTACTAGTTTGTCTAGTGACCCACCAACCTAGTGCCTCAACTAAATCAATGATTGGTTTGGTTTTGATAACTCTAATTTTGACTATACATCTCATACATGAAATTTACAACACTTACATAACATATTATGAAGTCTTCTCACAGCAAGTCCATCCAGTATAAATATCTACCTCTAATATTTATACATGTATGTTTGACTTGGTATCCCATATATGTTAGATTAAAAGACAATCTTGGATCCTTCAAGACATAAGTTTTAATTCTAACAAACTTAGATATTTTTGTTAAAGAAATGTTTTTCAGATCAATGGAAAGATGAACCTAAATAAACGATTGGTTATCATTTATGATGTCTAATAACCAAATCATCTGTTGAGAAAATAATTCAAATTTTTAAATTCAAATATCTAAGATATTATTTAGATTTTAAAAGATATTGATTCTTTTAGGATATTTTTTAGAATTGAAATATATTGTATTTATTTTAGAGATTTGTTTCCTTTTTTAAAATAGTGATGTAAGGTCAATAAATAAAGACTCTTGAGATGAGAAGAACCACCCGACCTGTAGAGGAGGTCACCGCCTTAAATGAGAAAGGAGGTCATATGAAGAAGGGTTTCCAAGTTTCACCAAAAAACTTGTGAATGATGGTTTTCAAGTTTTGCTAGAAAACTTGTGAGGAAGGGGTTTCCAAGTTTCACCCATAAAACTTGTGAGGAAGGAATTTTCAAGTTTAACCCACAACAATTGAAGGGAGGATTTTCAAGATATATATAACACATTTTGAAATAAATAATGAATATCCTTGTGGATGTAGGCATGAGGGACTGAACCACGTTAAATAAATTTGTGTGATTGTTTACTATTTCTTTTATTGTATTATTTTAATATGTTTCTCATCATCATTATTGTGCGTAAAAGAAAATAAGTTTTATTTGTTCCCAACAGTGGTATTAGAGCTCATGGTTCGTGGAGCCTGGTGACCTGTCTCTTGAGTATTGAAGATTAACATACAACGATTTGAATACCCAAGAAATGGAGACAAGGAATACTACAGAGTTAAAGTATGATTGAAGATGATTGTGACAAACATCCATGGCAACAAAGTCAAATTTGAAAATTTCAATTGAGGGAGAAATTGTTGGGAAAACAATTCAAATTTTTAAATTCAAATATCTAAGATATTATTTAGATTTTAAAGGATATTGATTCTTTTAGGATATTGTTTAGAATTGAAATATATTGTATTTATTTTAGAGATATGTTTCCTTTTTTAAAATAGTGATGTAAGGTCAATAAATAGAGACTCTTTAGATGAGAAGAACCACTCGACCTGTAGAGGGGGTCACCGCCTTAAATGAGAGAGGAGGTCACATGAAAGAGGGTTTCCAAGTTTTGCCAGAAAACTTGTGAATATTGGTTTTCAAGTTTCGCCAGAAAACTTTTGAGGAAGGGGTTTGCAAGTTTCACCCATAAAACTTGTGAGGAAGGGGTTTTCAAGTTTCACCCATAAAACTTGTGAGAAAGGGGTTTTTAAGTTTAACCCAAAAAACTTGAAGGGAGGATTTTCAAGATATATGTAACACATTTTGAAATAAATAATGAACATCATTGTGGACGTAGACATGAGGGGATGAACCACGTAAAATAAATTTGTGTGATTTTTTCCTATTTCTTTTATGATGTTATTTTAATATTTTTTCATCATCATTACTGTGGGTAAAAGAAAAGAAGTTTTTTTTGTTCCCAACATCATCTTTGTCTATATTATTCCTTAATAGATCAAAAGAATAAAAACTTCTTTAGTACTTAAACTCCAAAAAGGAACAAAGATATGGTTTTTGTCAGAGAAAGAATAAGTAGATATCTCATAATATGCAAGTCTTAGATGGTCATTTCCAACTAAAGCATGCAACAATTTCTTTCATTTTGTACCTTAAAGGTAATAAGTAGCCTCAATGATCAACTAAGAAGTGACAATTTTGTGAAATATATTTAATGCTCACAATTAATGCACCAACAAACACTTCTCTCTATAAGGAAGGAAGATGAAGAAAGAGAAAGTAAGTCTGTGAGAGAAGCTCAAGGATTTTCAATGGTCATCTTAAAAAAGTACCTATATAAAGAAGTTTGAAGACTCAAAAAGAAAATGTTGTGCATCAGGGGTTACCACACACATACACATGTCTCCACATTGGTGAGATATTGTCCGCTTTGGGCCTAGCCCTCACGATTTTGCTTTTGGACATCAACCAAAAGACCTCTCAACCAATGGAGACAACTGTGTGTATATAAACCCATGTCCATGCTCTTGTTTGAACGATGTGAGACTTTGCTTGCATCCTAACGATCCTCCCCTCAAACAAAGGACCATGATTTTACCCCCTTCCCTGCAGCGGAAACTACGAGTATTATCCGATGGTGGCCCACAGAGCTCACTCACGCTCAGAGTGGTTGCACCGCCGCTTCATCATGACCTCATGACAGCGGGACACGCCTCCTAACCTTCCAGCGTTTAGGAAAACTTTCGACACAAGGGATCCCCAACTTGGATCCACCTGCCAGCCATCATACTCGTCGAGCCGATCACCTGATCAAATCATTGGCTCTGATACCACTTGTTGTGCATCAGGGGTTACCACACTCATACACATGTCTCCACATTGATGAGATATTATTCGCTTTGGGCTCAGCCTTCACGGTTTTACTTTTAGACATCACCCAAAAGGTCTCTCAACCAATGGAGACAACTGTGTGTATATAAACTCATGTCCATCCTCTTGTTTGAACAATGTGGGACTTTGTTTGCATCCCAACAGAAAAAGATAACAACAATTGTAAAAATTTATTTCATTCTTTCTGTAATTCTTTGTACTTAAATTGATTGTATTACGTCTTGAAGTAAGAGGAAACAAGAAATGATTTTCCTACTTTAACTTTGTGTTATTGCTTAAAGCCTGAAGAGGCTTTGTTGTAAATAATATTTGGTTGTTGAAGTCTGGAAAGGTTTTGTTGTTCAAAGAATATTTAAGTAGTTGCATGAAAAGACAAGTTAAAGAATACATAGGTTGAGCCAAAGGTGGCTTGTAAAAGAATACTTTTATCATTGTGAAGGATAGTAGAACTTGATTAGGTTGATCAAGAGCTAGATGTAGTCTCGGTGGTTAAGACGAACCAATATAAAAATATCTCGTGTTCTTTATTCCTTACTTTTAGTTTACACTTTTAAAGCATTGTTACTACTTCACTGTTTCAAAAAAAATATTGAGTTTTTGATTAACACTATTTTACCCCACTTTTAGTATCTTTATTTTCTCCACAGTTTGGGATTAGAGTTCAACCTTTGACAAGGTTGAGCATCTAATCGTGCTAAAGAAAAAAATCCTAGGATGAAAAATAGTGAATATTAGTACTTGCCTAAAGGAACTTCTCTTACAAGCCATCAATTTTTAATGGAGAAGACTACCCATATTGGAAGGATAGGATGGAGATGTTCATTGAGTCCACCCAATACCATCTCAAAAAGATCATCATAGGTGATGATGTTCTCATGACCAATCCAGAGAATTAATACATGCAAGAAGACTATAACATCTTATAGCTCAACGCCGAGTCAATATACATTTTAGCTTGCTCTTTGTCTCAAATGAAGTACAACAAGTTTTGTAGTTGCAAGATTGTTAAGAAATATAGGAGACCATCAGGGTAACTCATGAGGGAACTAAAGACATATGGCTTAGATAAATTACTACTCTTCAAAGACATTATAAGTTGTTTTCAATGAAGGAGAACGAAACCATTGACGAGAAGTTTGGAAGATTTTAAACTATTCTCAACATGTTGAAATGCTTGGAAATTGAGTTATCAAAAGCTCAAAACAATTTAAAGATCTTAGATAACCTTCAAAAGATTTGGGAATCAAAGATTACTGCAATATCAGAGGCTCGTGACCTCAAAATTTTTATGTTGAATGAACTTTTGGGAGTCCTAAGAGTTCATGAAGTCCATCTAAACAACATGGATCATTTGAAAGCTAATGATTTTTTTGCTCTAAGGGTTGGTGAAGCCACTAAAAAAAAGTATAAAGGCAAAACTCTTAAGGTAAATCTAAGCATAGTAGCTCAGGTGAAAGTTTTGAGAACACAACGAATGATGAGATATCTCTCATGTCCAAGAAGTTCAATAACATGCTATAGAAGAAAGGGAGAATGAGAAACTTCCACAAAATGAAAGATATAGATAACCAATCCATATTGCTTTTAATTTGAAAGAAAAAACCTACTTCATTCCAATTATAATATCAATTATCAATATA